CTATGGAAAATTAATCATACATGTTATGATCAACACTTAGACAAGCAGAGTATAGCTTCTATTTGTATCGGTATATGATAGAAAACTGAAAACCATCATAGGCAGTGTTATCCTATCGATAAGATTTGAGCTACTCAACTCAATTTATGACCATGAACAAAAAAAAATATACAATCAGGTTGAAGACTACACACAAAATCTCAGGTCGAAAAATCAGTCGGCAAGATCTTACAAGATTATATCCTCTGCTCTTATATGATCTTACAAAATCAGATGAAAAAACGTACGGAAAATCGTCATTCTTGAAATCTTGAGTTACTTCGTATTACAAGATTCTTGCAAGATCTTACTACCTTGTAAAATTTCAGGGGTGACAATTTCTTGTATAACTTCATCTAATCATATAAGGTCTTACGCCTGATTTTTTGACCTGGGACCTTACGAAAGGATTATGGGTGAATCATGCATCCGAGAAAAAACTATTTCCAGTGTATCTGTTTCTAACCCATTCAACATATCCATTGTGATTGATTTTTATCGATAGCTTAAAGATGCGTGCTTGTATTTCTATGTGTACAAAATGTACACTTTTTGTAAATGAATGCATTAGTTTTCATTCGCACAATTTATGTCGAAAGAAGAATGTTGAAAATGAAATTGTAGAAAGTAGAAATGTCGAAAAGTTAAAATCTCAAATAGAAAAAATGCCGAAAATAAAATTATCGAAATATATCTTATTTTGCTATTTTCGTTGTTTGAAATTCATGTGGGATGTGAAAATATGAATGCTCGATAAGTGATATGAAAATGAGACTATGAGCTAATTGGTGTGGTATGATGGCCTCGCAATCATTCTTATTAAGGCTTCCCCACTCGAAAATGTCGATTTTTGTCGAATTTTTCGATTTTTTTATTTATAGTGCATTTGATAGAGCAAAGTCTCCGCTATCGAACGCACTTTAGTTTATGGGTTTTATGATGAGTTTTCACAATGTAAATTCGATTTTTCGGCAACCCCCTATTCTGAAAAATAACACTTTTTTCAAAAACTGCTGATATTTCACAGTAATGACTATAGTTTGCATGTATCGCTAAAGTATAATAGCTTGATACGTACTGTTACTCGAGAATATATATATAAACGACAGAATGAGATGAAAATATTGACCACTCATGTATACCTCAATTTTTATTGGGATAATAGGTACCTGATATCGAGATGACACCTGATGATCATGTTATCTTTCAATAGTCTACTTTTCTATATCGGGCGCAATCATCGTTGTTAACAATATTGCTCAACGTCTAGCGTGACTATCGTTCTTTGTACTATTGTTTAACACGCCTGGCGTAATCATCATTCTATGTACTATTGTTCAACGTGTGATTCTATGTACATATCCATACACACACTTTTTCATTGTCATTTCATTTCACACCAATATAAAACGTATATATTTTTAAAGATAAGAAAAATCGCAAATAAAATAAAATATCTTATTTGTGATCTCTTTAATATATTTGTTGATTAAAATCAGTTTTCAAGTGTATATTCAGCAGTAATTGATGACTATTTTTCGTAATACAATATGTTATATGTTGTTAGTCGTAAAAATAGGTTTCCATGGGTAAAAGAAATATTTGCTACAAAAAGAAAAGTAAAGGATTAATTATGAAACGAATTCGTCCAGATAATCTAAAGAGGAAGAGAGACCATTTATCATCATCAAGCACCAACGAAGAATCAATGATGTCGATGCAAAGTCAATCCACATCAAACAAACAGAATGCTGAAGATAATTTTAATTTTAATTTAATTATACATATGAATTCTTTAATCTTATGACTAAAAAAGTTTTTATGTCCTGATTACAATAAATTTTGGGACAGATCCACAACTGTCAAAGAATGCAATGGATTATACATGCAGCTTGAATTCATGTGCTATAATTGTAAATCTCTCACTCGTTTATATTCGTCACCGAAAATGCCAGCTGGTAGACGTCATAAGATTAATATTCGGCTAGGTATTGGTAGTACTCTATGTACGTCAGGTCGTACTGAAACCATGAAATTGCTAGGTGCTTTAAATCTACCATCACCGATTCAGAAACACAAGCACCGTGACGCGCAAGAATTTATTTTAAATTATGTTGAGAAAGCTCAAGAACAATCAATGATTACCGCTGCTGAAGAGGTTTCGTTGAAGCTGATATTTGTGTTCAACGACAGCCAATCCAAAAGTTATAGATACTAATTGGTGTTCTAAAACATGTACTAAATATGAAGGGGCAGAAAGTCTACGTCAAGTTAATTTTGATTTATTTAAAAAATTTTAGGAGAATCATGAATATCAATTGAATTTTACAGGTATCTCTTATGAATTATACAATACTTTGTCATAAGTTTTTCTAATTTAAGAGCATCAGGTGCAATGGAAAAAGAAATGATTCATGAAATGTTTTGCCGATTCTTATCAAAATATAAAATTAAATGTACTTCATATATTGGAGATGGTGATGCTAAAGTTCATAGTTTTCTAACAAGTAATCCTCCATATCCTGGTGTTACTATAAAAGAACTTGAAGGTACAAATCACTTTGTAAAACGGATGTTGAGTCGCATCAAAAAGATCAAGCAAGGGAATAAAAGTAAAATTTTGTCTGACAGTAAAAGATTTAGCGGAAAGGATGGATGACTGATGTTCATGCAATCAAATTTAAAATTTATTTTGCTAGAGCAATACGCGAATCTATGTTCGATTTAGATAAACTTTATAAAAAATCATGGACTATTTTCAAATATCATTATTCGACGGATAAGAAACTAATGCAGGATTAGTGTGATCCTCAATGGTGTAAGTACTTGCAAGCAAAATTAAATGGTCAACAGTTTTCTCATAATTCAAAATCAACCATTCCAAGAGCATGCTTGGATATGATCAAGTCCGTATTTTACGAATTGTGTTCTCAAACTAGTTTAACACGTGTAGTGGGTGGTGGATCACAAAACGCCAATGAGACATTTCATTCATTACTATGGACAATGATTCCTAAGCACCGCTTTTGTTCATCAATCATTCTTCATATCGCATTAGGTTTATCCATAATAATCTATAACTAGGGTTATGATTCTTTAGGCACATTATTTACAAATATTTTCTCGTCTATAGGATATTATTCTGCTGAGTGTTTTAGTCGTCTTAATTCGATGAGAAAATGTTCCAATTTAAAAGTAACAAACAGACGCAAGAAAAGAACAACTGCTGCTGCTAATAATTCTTCCATTGAAAGTGATGATGAAATGTTATTAATGCTTAATGATAAAAATTCTGTTAATATTACTCAAGATTTAATAGGATTAGAACTAATAGATGATGATACGAGTACTGACTATGAACCTGGATAAGATGATTAGCTTTTTATAACATATCATTATTTATCTAAGATTTGTTACAAACTAGTTGATAAAATTTGCCAGAATATAATCATTTGTGAGAGAAATTCAACATTTTTTCATCTGTTTCAGATAATTTGAAAATACTATTATTATATGATATAAAATTATCGATATAAATTCAGATGATTTGTTTCGCATCATACCAAGCAGTTCTCAGTGATTCGACTATGCACATAACATAACCACATGGAACAAATAAAACTTTTCCCATAAATCTCTGCATGCGTCTACTGAGTTCGTTTTAACCAATGATCTACGGAAAATCCCTAAAAAATTTATTTTATCCCATATTACCATACAAAGAGTCTTCAATTTCATTTCTCAATCTTCTTCTACGTTTTTCTCACAATAGGTTTTTTTGTTTTAACACTTTGTATTTCCCAAATCCTTTCGCCATTTTAAACGCTAGAAAGCTCGAGTTGGTTTCAAAATATAGGGAGTGATTAGCTCTACAACTTAATAGAGGCGAAATTTTAGATTTTATCTTTATGTCTCATGAGACTCAAATGTATCATAATACACACGCTATCATTACCATACATTATAAGATAAGCTGTAATAAAAAAAAATGAAAAAGGAAAATTTAAATTTAAACTCTGTTAAGTTGTAGTGCTAGGTCTTTAGTATATTTTAAAATCAACCCGAGCTTACTAGCAATTGAAATGGCAGCGGGATTTTGGAAACGGGGACTCCTCCATTATGAACAGCAATCTTGAGGTAAAACTCGGTAGACTTAATATTTTGAACTGAAATTTTTACTGTGAGCTACCTAGCATGAGATACACCTCCTCTGGAAATTTCAGCAAGATTGGATGATCAAAAGCAAAAATAAGAATTACGATTGGGGGGGGGGCCTTAATTGATTACATCATTCATTTTATCCTTAATCGGAACACGAGTTTTCAGAAAGAAGATAAGGTCGATCTTTCATTCCCATCATCACCCTCAACCTCAAAACCGACACGGACAACATTTATACAAAATCGCATCAATACTTTGTATAGTCAACATAATGATGGCATAATCAGTTCATCAGATCTTCTTTCCAGCTTGTCGTGTATTGTTGAAGCGAACAAACAGATGTGGAAAATATGTGCTATTCAAGTTACTTTGTTCATTAAAATTGCTTCGTATTTCATCTTAGCTCGTTGTAAAAAAGGAATATTTTTTCTTTATCAATATAAATTCTACAAATGAACTAAATATATCAAGTCCTTTATCATCTACTAAATAATAATTTGCACTGTCTCGACGTTTCCATAAGTCGATATTTTTATCTTTTGATCTTTTTACACTTCACCATATCTATCTATCGACATTTTTTTCAGCATGCCTATTTGCAAGAGTTTTAGTTTTCGAGTTTTGACTCTCTACATTTTTATCATTCCGCATCTCTTCCATTCCTTTTTCCCTAATTATTTTTCCAGCCAGAGTAGCATTTATCCTATTGTCCAACGACAAATATAACAGACGATGAAAAGAAATTCAAACCTTTGGCAAAAGAAAAACTAGCCACTATAGACTAGCTTCCAGTCACCGTCACGATCGCGCCTGTAATCGTGATCCTTTTGAAGATACCTACAACTGGCATCAGTATCGTTCGGAAAAACCATCACTTCTTGCATCTGTCCAAACGGCTCAATCTCAGGAATAATCACATGCCGACTGTACTAAGGATATGAGTTCGCTCTAATTCACTCTTCTTCTTCTAACAATCTTCGACAACTCTCGTATTTCAAATAGCACTGTTTTCTCAAGATATCCACCGATCTAATCACATAGTTCGACATACTATCTGAATACCTTACCTCTTAATTAGCGTTTGATTCTGTTTCACATACGAAACAAATACAACCACACAAGATGGTATTCATCTCTATTACCCAATCTCATCCCAAGCCACAACATTAATACCACTAACCACCTTCGTATACAACGTAAATAGTGCCAAGCACGACGTCATACCGTTGTTGCTTTACTTTTAACCGATAAGAATGAATGAAATACCCAAAGCAAACAAACTGTAGCAAGTAAATAGTGCTCACCAACGATTGATTCTACTACATTTACCATGCCAATACAAAGCCATAGCTTTAGTAACCTGATCGTAGCATCATTACTCGCGGCTTCTACCTACCAATCTACTACTCATCTATTCCGCTCATTTAGCAGTCCTGATCGGACTATACCAATCTTCAGTTCACCTCACATAACAACTGAACTTCATCATAAATACTTACATTTATCTATATCAGTATTTTCATAAGCAAACAACACCTTGATGTTTTTATCAGCAATCACTCGTCACACGTACAACTCGCTTAAAAGCTTCATTCCACTACCTTATCCCTCCTCCAGGCAAGCCATCACATGAATACTTTCACCAAAACTCAAACAACCAATGATAACTACTAACAAACACACAATTCATCTATTTCATTCGCTTCCAAGTGGTAGAATGATGTTGAATCTATGAGTAAACATGATATGACAAAGGAATACTATTCAGCAACATTCTATTCATCTGTTTGATTCGCTTCGAAGTGGTAGAATGATGTTGAATCTATGAGTAAACATCATATAACAAATGAATAATATTCAACAACATTCTATTCATCTCTTTGATTCTCTTCGAAGTGGTAGAATGATGTTGAATCTATGAGTAAACATCATATGACAAAAGGATACTATTCAACCACATTCTATTCATCTCTTTGATTCGCTTCGAAGTGGTAGAATGATGGTGAATCTATGAGTAAGCATCATATGACAAATGAATACTATTCTCAACATTCTATTCATATCTTTGATTCTCTTCGAAGTGGCAGAATGATGTTGAATCCATGAGCAAACATCATATGAAAAATGAATGGCATTCAACAACATTCTGTTCATCTCTTTGATTCGCTCCGAAGTGGTAGAATGATGTTGAATCTATGAGTAAACATCATATGACAAATGAATAGTAATCAAAAATATTCTATTCATCTCTTTGATTCGCTTCGAAGTGGTAGAATAATGCTGAATCTATGAGTAAACATCATATGACAAATGAATACTGTTTACGAACATTCTATTCATCTCTTTGATTCGCATTGAAGTGGTAGAATGATGTTGAATCTATGAGTAAACATCATATAACAAATGAATGCTATTCACCACCACTATATTCATCTCTTTGATTCGCTTCGAAATGGCAGAATGATGTTGAATCTATGAGTAAACATCATATGACAATTGAATACTATTCACCCACATTCTATTAATGTTTTTGATTCGCTCTGAAGTGTTAGAATGATGTTGAATCTATGAGTAAACATGATATGACAAAGGAATACTATTCTTAACATTCTATTCATCTCTTTGATTCGCATCGAAGTGGTAGAATGATGTTGAATCTATGAGAACAGATCATATGACAAATGAATACTATTCACACAAATTCTATTCATCTCTTTGATTTACTTCAAGGTGTTAGAATGATGTTAAATCTATGAATAAACATCATATGACAAATGAATACTATTCTTAACATTCTATTCATCTCTTTGCTTCACTTCGAAGTGGTAGAATGATGTTGAATCTATGAGTGAACATCATATGACAAATGAATACTATTCAGCAACATTCTATTCATCTCTTTGATTCGCATCCAAGTGGTAGAATGATGTTGAATCTATGAGAACAGATCATATGACAAATGAATACTATTCACACAAATTCTATTTAACTTTTTCATTCGCTCGGAAGTGGTAGAATGATGTTGAATCTATGAGTAAATATTATATGACAAATGGATACTATTCTTAACATTCAATTCATATCTTTGATTCGCTTCGAAATGGCAGAATGATGTTGAATCTATGAGTAAACATCATATGACAATTGAATACTATTCACCCACATTCTATTAATGTTTTTGATTCGCTCGGAAGTGTTAGAATGATGTTGAATCTATGAGTAAACATCATATGACAAATGAATACTATTCTTAACATTCTATTCATATCTTTGATTCGCTTCGAAGTGATAGAATGATGTTGAATCTATGAGTAAACATCATATGACAAATGAATACTATTCTCAACATTCTATTCATCTCTTTGATTCGCTTCGAAATGGTAGAATGATGTTGAATCTATGAGTGAACATCATATGACAAATGAATAGTATTCACAAAAATTCTATTCAGCTCTTTGATTCGCTTCGAAGTGGTAGAATAATGTTGAATCTATGAGTAAACATGATATGACAAAGGAATACTATTCACCAACATTCTATTCATCTCTTTGATTCGCTTCGAAGTGATAGAATGATGTTGAATCTATGAGTAAACATCATATGACAAGTGAATACTATTCACAAAAATTCTATTCATATCTTTGATTTACTTCCAAGTGTTAGAATGATGTTGAATATATGAGTAAACATCATATGACAAATGAATACTATTCAACAACATTCTATTCATCTCTTTGATTCTCTTCGAAGTGGTAGAATGATGTTGAATCTATGAGTAAACATCATATGACAAATGAATACTATTCACCAACATTCTATTCATCTCTTTGATTCGCTTCGAAATGGTAGAATGATGTTGAATCTATGAGTAAACATCATATGACAAATGAATACTATTCAGCAACATTCTATTCATCTCTGTGATTCGCTTCGAAATGGTAGAATGATGTTGAATCTATGAGTAAACATCATATGACAAATGAATACTATTCTCAACATTCTATTCATCTCTTTGATCCGCATCGAAATGGTAGAATGATGTTGAATCTATGAATAAACATCAGATGACAAATGAATAGTAATCAAAAACATTCTATTCATCTCTTTGATTGGCTTCGAAGTGGTAGAATGATGTTGAATCTATGAGTAAACATCATATGACAAATGAATACTATTCACAAAAATTCTATTCATATCTTTGATTTACT